GCCACACTACTACACAAATCTTGCTAAGGTACTGTTCAAATGCACTAGACATCTCGTATACTGTTATTTTAAATGATAACATCCTCGCATGTACTCCAGTTTGTATATATCCTACGTTGAATAGAAAAACACAATACCGTGTTGATACTATGGTAGAAAAACCCACAATGCACAAACTAGATTTATTGAGGAAAGTGAGACAACAGTTTCGGAATCACCCTCGATTCCATCTTCGGGTCTGAGGAGGCAAGGAAGAGGAAGCTTCCTCTCCCTTGCCTCCTCAGACCCGAAGATGGAATCGAGGACGATTCCGAAACTGTTGTCTCACTTTCCTCAATAGCTTTAAACAAGTAAATGTGCTAGACATCAAAGGTCATATAGCACTGAGAGCGATATCCACTTCGTCAGTAATTCTGTCAATTTGTCAGCTGTCTTTTTGTGTTCCAGTTGTCATATTACCAAATTTTACGCTTAATCTTCGTCATACCGAATGAGTGTCGTCTGTAATCTCTATTGGAAACGTATCTGTCAGCTGATTATTTGTGTTTCATATTACCAAATTTTGATCTTCATAATCCCGAATGAGTATCCCCATCGGTTCGCAGATACAAGAGACGTGCGGTGTGCTTTTCATCGTGATCTTAGTATCGGTTGCCCTCACGTTGGTCTCGGAGTCGCCAGTCCTAGGCCTTGAGAAACTGCTTTTGAGGCCTCCAGGTGAGTCACGTGGTATCTGCAGGTACAATAGTTTCATTGCAGATGTACTGTGTTATTATGCCCTTATAGTTATGGTTAGATTTGCATAGCAAGTATATACATGTATCTCTAGATACTAAGATTGTCCGATATTGAAACTTTATGTATGTGTATATATAGTTCGATTTATTCCAAAAACAATGAAATTATTTGGCGTGCCAGGGGACAAAAAATATGGAGGAGACGTAGATTGGTCCACGGGGCGTGCAATCGCTTCATTCTTGTGACTCATATCTCATTCCTCAGTCAAGTTATATCCTCATCTTCGGCAACTTTCCTGTACCATCGTGGCCCACAAATTTTCTGTTGGAAATCTTAGTTGGTAATTCGTTCTAATTTATCTCTCTTGTATTAGTTGGAAAGTTTTGAATTTCAGCATATTTCAGTGGAGGACTATCCCCCGCACCCCCCTCCTCCTCCCCCGAGTTATCACTTATCTGGAGATGGATGAGAAAATATAACTTTGTCTCTGTCTGTCTGTCTGTCTGTCTGTCTGTCTGTCTGTCTGTCTGTCTGTCTGTCTGTCTGTCTGTCTGTCTGTCTGTCTGTCTGTCTCTCTCTCTCTCTCTCTCACACACACACACACACACTCACACACACACACACACACGCACACACACACACACACACACACACACACACACACACACACACACACACACACATATATATATATATATATTATATATATATATATATATATATATATACTTCTTTCTTTTTCTCTTTCATGTGACGTGCGAGTTCGTGAGTTCTTCGCTTCCCCGGCCTCCCCTCCCATTGCCCTCCGCCTACCCCCGTCCTCTCCCTTGCCCTCCGCCTCCCACCGCCGCATTTCCACCCTGAGTTCCCCCTTGTCCCCCGCGCACCCGTCCCGCCTTGTTGTACTCCACGGATCCACGACCCGCGTTTCGGTTAAGTTTAGCAAAACAAACAATCGCATTTTTGTCAAAATACCAAATAACTCAGATGGTCCCTATACCGCGAAGACCCGCTCCTTCATAAGACCTTTCCAACGAGTGGTCGATCAACTTTCTATCTGGTTCCTTTCTCGAGATATGTGTGTCCTAATGTACCAATGTATGTGTATGTATCCCAGTTTAGGCGATTTGGGCCCCGATTCCAATGGGACTTGTCAAGGTTGAAGATTGGCCCGACTACACCTCGGCCCTAAAGTTCCTAAATGTCGGGAACCCTGTTTTGCAGGACCCTGAAAACCCGCTAAGATGTGTTTGTGTATTACTGCACTGGCCCCGCAGCGTCAGACGGCGATTCTTACTCGTTGTTTTACGTACGTTTGGGGGAGTGGTCTGTTGTTTGCGAGGAGATTGAAGCTTGGCGGTGTTGGGTCCCGGGGCACTGGCCAGTGCAATGATGTGGGAGAATTAGTATTAGTATTAGTAAAAGTGTTAGAATGCATGTATTTATTGCATAATATATTTTACCTTAAAACATAATTCGTATCCCTGCACAGCACCAACGAGGTATGAGACGCCAATTTTGAAACCAGATGAGCTGCCATCTGCCAGCAGTACCGACACCGAGGAATGCTCAGCGAATGTCCAAAGTGAGGATGGCCCGCAATGTGAACAAGTACCTGGTAACGCTGATTCCGAAATTAGTGAGCTTAAATAATGGCAAGGAAATTAATGCTGAACATAGACAACAAATGTTAATTAAAATTCAATATATTCCATATTTAATTGTAATAGGTGAGTGAAATAAATATATATATATTTTATATTTTTATGGACAAAACTAACAAAATGGTTCATGGTAAAGTGCTAAACATCAAAAGTTATACAGCGCTATAGGGAAGTATAGTAGCAAAAAGGGTAATGAGGCCGTTAATAACTTAATGATTAGATGTGCTACACATCAAAAGTCGTACAGCATTTTTGGATGGTATGGTATTGAAATGGATAAAGAGGTTGAGTAAATGAGCACTGCATGGATTAGAAAGTGAGGAATAGGGGGGAACTAAGGGCGATTAGATGAAATGGAAGATACAGGTCTGTGAGAACAGAAACTGCGAATATTTCTGTGTAGAAGAGCTGTTACTAAACAATGTGATAAACTGAGTGTCGGAGAGGTAACATAGTGTTAATAATCTTGTCGGTAAGGCAGCCCCTTAAAATACAGTATGGGAACCACCATAATTGGCACGCATGCGTGATTACGCAGGGCAGTTTGAACCAAGGTCTACATAAGTACTTACATACACCTTGGTTTGAACGATCAAGGTCAGGCTGGACGCATAGAAGCAAGGTCTAATATAGGTGCTGACCTTGCATAGAGAGCAGCGGGCTGTGGAGCGACATTGCTTGGCAGACAGGGTGGCCAACACGCCAGCATTTCTGACAATGACAGACAATATTGCTGTAGGACTTTTGGCGGTTGGGGAATGGTGTAGCAGGGCATTGCTACTGCATCATAGGCAAGCAGGTCGTTTTCACAGTCCGACTAATCCTTGTCGTAAACAGTGTTATTGGCCGGACATATGGAAAAAGTTCCGGTAAAAGTATTAAAGGAGTGAGGCTGGGCAGGAATAGTTTTGCCAGTGAGGTCACGAGCCTGGGTCTTGGATGCAACTGTGCCAAGGCGTGATGGATCGGAACGACTGTGAAAGGTAATGTTGCCTTCTTGTTTTTGGAGACATTGCTGGCATAGGTGGGTATTTTCACTGTAAGGGGCTGTTGGGGAAATCACAAAAAATTATCCCACTTAACTGGGCTAAAAAAAGAGTACTCAAAAGATTTGTAGAGGAAGTTGTTGTTGAAGGACGGGGACGGGAGGAAGAGGGTGTAATGTCAAGTGAGGTAGGTACTATAGGGAAGTGTACAATAATGAATAGTAGTAACAAGGGAGGGAGGTTGAAAATGAAGACTGGAGGATGAGTGGAGTGGATGATGTTGGGAGAGAAGGAACCAAGGTTTTCTTAAGGTAGGGTAATTGCAATAATGGTGACTGGTTTACTGAGCTAACTAAAACATGGGAATACACATGGGGAAACCCGTAAACCATGCTCTGTAACCATGATTATGTATGTGTATTTATAGAAGTTCCTGCCATAATGTATTCACAATTTACAGCCGTTATGATTTACAGTACTTGCGTTCAAGTTGGAAATTCATTGATTATATTTTTCTTTTCCTTTAATGCTCACATGTTTAAAGGGAAGTAGAGAGTAGTATTAATTTCAGTTACATTTCAAAAGCTTTACATTAAATACTTGGGGTGGAATCACAACAGGTAATAATCTTCATTAACTGATTCAGCAGCCTTACCCAAATTATTTAATTTCCATCTTTTTATGCAAGCCTTTGATCACATATTCCCACTTTTTATGCATTTCTATATTACTTTGGGATGTCAAACCACAGGATATTATTCTTCATTTTTATTGAATCATAAAATATATTCAAAATATCATACACTCGTAACAATACTTGCTTTTACCACTATCAACAATCAAAATAAAAGTACTAAGCATACACTACATACTTTATTCAGTGAAATATTTACAATCACAAAGTCCATCTCTGGTTTAAAATTATAGATGATAAAATATTGAATCATGATGAGTGGAAATGAAAGATATCTGAAGTCCTCATGTCTAGTAGACACGAGTCAGGCAACATCAGGGGCCATAAATTACTTTATTTCATTCATGGCAAAATACAAAATACAGATGCAGTCTTTCATATCTGTATTTTGTTTGGTACTTCTGCATCAGGCACACATTGCTCACAGTAGTATTTCTCTTCTAACAAAAACCATAATCTGATAATATCTTGTATGATTCTGAAAATATCTTTACAACACCAAAACACTCCACAAACCCTTACTAAATATAAAGTTCAAAATCTCCAGTTAAAAACACCCACTGATCTATGACAATGGCTATGAAAAATTATAACACATTGTGCTTATCATATTCTTAACAGAAAGTTTTGACAGTACAAAACACACATACTAAACTTTAAGACTAGTCTTGGTAGTCTTAAACTAATTTATTTCCAACATAACTTGACAGCAGTGAAGTACAGATCACTCCTGGCAATATCACAATTGTGCATTTTCATAATCAAGATTCATATGATTTAATACAGTAAAAATGCAACTACCAGAAACACTGTTGGGCTAGCAAAATACTTTCCTTAGAGCAATCTATACCAGAATTTTCAAATACTTAAAAGGACAGAGTGAATCACCAATGGTGCATTACATAAACAACTACAGCAATAATGGAAAAAATAAAATAATCACTTAATGAAATTGAATATGCACATAATTAAATTCGACAATCAAAGATGTTACAACAAAAAACTTCATTGTAAATTGTGCATCACAATTTAAAATATAAATCTGTTCAGTAAATAACAGGGCACAGGATATACCAACCATGTTCATATCTTGTCTGAACTGACTACTGATTACTCCCAACCCTCACCAATGAAAACTTTGTTACTGAGAAATAAGTAGTACCAATATCAGTGAACCTTCACATTTTCTATTCACAATATGAATTCTTTGAAAATGCACAATATTTAAAAATCACAGTGGTTGTTTGAAAATGCACAAAATCCAGTAAAAATAACAAGGAGAACTCGGCATACCACAAAAGTTAAGCCTTATGTACTGCTTCTGAATTCCCAATAGCCAGTCTGCCTATCTATCTATCTACTTATCTATCTATCTGACTACATATTATCTATTTAATCTAACCAACTACTCTACCTCTATATTAACATACATTCACAAAAATTGTATGTACATACAGACATAATAAGACACACTCACATGCACACATAAGCAACCACATAAGCTATTCCATAATATATGAGCATGTACACATGCACACACACACACACACACACACAAGCTATAAATATGAGTATCTATTCAACTATTTAACAACCATTCAACCTCCTCCTCAGTTATGCTGGTACCACTGGATAGGCCTTGCTGCCTGCATTCTTTCACATTTCATGTGAAATCATTAAACATTCTTTACAAAGTTCACATTGGGTCATGACTACTTTGTAGAGTTAGCTTGACACTTATGCTTCTGGTTCCCTGTTCAAGAGATCCCCGGATACTCCCATGGTCAGCAAGCAACACTGAATTCTGCTGAGATATGTGCCAAGCCAACCCTGTGACTCAACTCGCCCTCATTTGCAAGCTCTCACTCTCCCAGTTTCATTCAATTACACTGATGTTGATGGAAATAGTCACACAACAGATATATCATAATATATGAATTTCTTAACTGTTTAACCATTGGTAAACGAATAGGACACATTCAGACTATTTTTCTGAAAACTAAAGACCTATTCAAAGTAGCAATGCAATTAGGCAGGGACAAAAATTAAAACAAACTTTCTTCAAGACATACAAATTAATTTAGGAAATATAGATATACATATATCTATAATAGTGTATATATACAGTATATGAAAGAAATATATCATTAACACCACTTCCTTTGAAAACCAACAAGAATTATAAGAAATGCAGTCCACAATAATATCAAGTCTGAAATGTAAAGTCAGGTTAGGTTTTAAATAATTCTAAAATAAAACAAACACATGTAATATAAGAGAAGTTAAATTTCAGTCATTTTCACTGCAAAACAAATGCATAATGCTTTTTATTATAAAAAGCCAGCTCTTTAAGTAACAGTAATGTAACAAAGTCTATTAACAATGGACTACCTATACCTTATGATCCACATGTGTATGAGCTTTGTAAGGTATAGTCAAGTAAAACTGCCTGATTTGCTAAGGAAAGCATGAAATTGGAGGAAAAATGGAAACAATTCACACAAAAGACTGTCAAGCCAATACTTGGAAAAAATTACCAGTTTAGTCGCTAGACTATACTGAAGGACTAAGCAAAGATGTGATGGGTGAAATTCCATAATTACATTGGTCACGAATACAAGTGTTATGAGCACTTCCCTGTAATCACAACATTCACCATCTTTCACCCACTTATAAACCTCTCTACAGTATATACTAAACTTTCATAGACAAAACATCATTCCCATTCCTGAGCATGGCCAGAAAAATAGGATAATAGATCAGTAACTCTATGAAACAAAGTAAACCACTTTGTAACTTGCACTTGACATGGTTTAATGGAGGGATATATGGTTTGTAATTCATTTTCGTAAATACATAACCTACAATCCGAAAACAAATGAAGACAAATGGCAATAAAAATTCTTCAATTTCTGAAATGTATATGTTGAGACTGCACTCCATCTGCTCTATGGTTTATCAAGCACAAAATCACCTTTACATTGGCACAATATTGTTAATAATCAGCAATGCATTTACACAGCTATGATAATTACTCTGATTTAAAAATAACATTTATCACATAATCAAACATGAATATATCATTATAATTTCAACAATACCCATAAGCTCTCAAGTTACACTGATAATCAAATAACAGGTTTTCCATCAAGGTGGTTAGAGAGAGAAAAAATGGAAAATGGAAATTAGAGAGAGGAAAGGGGAGAAGGGAGAGAAAAAAGAGGAGGGGAGAAGGGAGAGAAAAAAGAGGAGGGGAGACAGGGGAGGGAGTGCGTGTAAACACATGTACATAAGAAACCTTACTTTTGCTTATGCCATCTGTTTTACCATCAACAATTTCAGACCATATACCTTCCTAAAAAGTGCAATCATATTTATATATAAAAATCTATTACAGCATGAAAATCTTTTTAATGCCCCATCTATGTGTGCCACTTAAATCTTTGAAGTTCAATTACAGAAAAATGATGAATGAAAAAGAAAAAAAAAATAATGACAATAAACAAACAAATAATAGCAATACTAATGACAATAATAATTATAATAACAATGATATAAACTAGAGTTGTCAAGGGATTTTTTTTTCATTATTTTTCATTTTGCATTTCCATGAAAATATCTTAAAAGCTGAAAAGCTGAAAATATTTCCTGTACCATATATTCTATGGCTCACATCACAAAAAAAACAATACCAGTATCAAAAAATATAAAATGACAAACTTATCTAGAATGGTACAAATAACTAAACTAATATTCAAGTCAACAACACCAAAAACATTTTGTCTTCACTGCCAAACTGACTATCAACATATAATTTTCTCTGACAAAAACTTTATTCGGATTGACTAAACTGCTTGAACAGGCCACATTGCTCAGCTTCATTCAGATACAAAAATAATGGAGACTTTTCTAGCAGTTAACTCATTTTTATTTAAATGATATTTCACCCTATGCAGTTTCAGTCGAATTTAATTCAAAATAATAATACATGTTATTTTAAATACTCATAATAAACCAGCCTCTATGTTTAAAAAGAATCTCACTTTTTTAAATACAATTCCAATGAAAAGAACTTGCAAAAGATAATTTGGTCTGATGCTATCTTTAGTCATATAACATTCTATTTTATCTTTACTGGAAATTATATAGCCCTCAAAATATATAACAAATTTCACTTTTGGCTTGGTTGATATAAATACCATACATTGTCGGTTTCCTGAAAAATGGGAACTTTGAAATACATGATAAACTGTCATGTGTGATAAATATATATACCCACCCTCTTATACTTCCCTTTAACATCATTTCATATATCCAACAAGATTGTATAAGGTGTAGAGTCCTTTCAAATGATCACAGTAATCTGCAATCTTAAGTTGTTAACAACCATTACAATGACAATTTGATGAAATGAATGGCTTTTTTCTATTCTGTAACATTCATAAAGTCCTAGAGATGAGTGAATTCAAAGAGACTACAGTTGCAGAATTATCAAAATTCAATTCTTTAAAAAATCTGTACTGTCAGTAATTCATAACACCTTAATCTGCAAATACGAAAATCATGAAAAATAAATAAAAAATGATACAAAATAAGCTCTGTCTGATGTAAAAATTGGTATGTTATAATATCTTAACTATACTCAGTACCAAACAAATACATTCATTAAGTACCACTCATTTTCTATCAACTCTTAACTACATTTAGTGTTTCATTTATTCCTACAATGCCTTGATATTCTTTTCATTTCACAGAATAACATTTTACATTTTCTCATATCTTATGCAACTCTGGTCTTATCTACTTGTATTATCTTACAGTAATAAATACTGCACACTTAAAGAAAGCTACAAAACAATATTTCTATTATATCTCTTTTTTGTATTATTTTATAGTTAAAATGATACAGCATTTTGTACATAAAGGTCAAATCACTCTTTTGTAGCACTATTTAACAAGTACTCTTGTGTTACATCATGCACACCACCTTCGGCTGTATATCAAACCATGAAGCAATTGTTGTGGAGAATCTCCATGCTGTCCCCAATGCTTAAGGAATGTTGAGGAACTATGAAAAATTAAAAGAGAGGTAGTGATGCTCTAGCACAGCCTTCCTAATGATCTAAGGTATCATCCTTCAATTCCTTACACACTCCAGGCATGTATATTGTTAAATTATCATAATAACAGCAGCTTCAAGTTCTGATCTTTGCAAAGATTTCACTGCCTTCAGTGGCATCACGATGGTTGCTGGCGCCCTAGAACAAGGTCGATAATAGCACTCCCCATACCATCCCATGCAACTTCTACTTAGCAAAATGTATTTAACCGAGGGTTACTGCTTTCAATTTTGACGCTCATTCAATTAAAATAATATTGCTGTTCAACATCCACATTAGCCTTGCCTGTCCCAGGATCCCCAAATAGTCACACCAAGTATCTGTGGGACTGGTCACCCTATAAACAGTGTCTTCCCATAGAGAAACATATTCCCAGAAAAGACCATATTTTCTACATATTGAATGAACTGCACATCAATGATAGTCATAAATTCTATGAGTATCATTGCACATCAATTGAAAATTTCAAGAAACCATTATCCATACCAGCTATCCCAATAGCCCATATTTCAACAGAAATAGGAAAATCAACAATAAACTTAAAAATCACTATTAATGTGGGAGGAAGTAAATACTATAACTGAAATTGAATAAAATATAATTGTTGATCTTGAGACAGCCTTTCCAGCCTTGACATTATACCCCATGCAAAGCAAAGTAAGTAATAATGACAACAAAATAAATGCACTAGACATTGTATTGTGGTGGGAAGGCTCTTTGCCTTCAGCATGGCAGAGTGGGTGTTTGTCTGTATTCGTTGATCAAATTCGAAAAATTGTTATCACTGTCTTTGGTCGCCTATGATATAATATAATCACAGTTTAGATGACCAAGTAATACTCTTCATAGTAATTATACTAGTTTTATTTTCGGTATCCTCTTTCCCTCTGTGACTTAGGCAAAAGATCAACAAAACGGTTCTTGATCACTGCTGCACCAGGCACGGATTTTAACCTCGGTTCCCCTCACAGCTGGGGAAGTATGCCATGCCTTAAAGGGATCCCTGGACAGACAAGACTAGTGTGACTGCCCATTTATCAGGCAAGTATAATGATGCATGATGCTCCTTTTTGTATACTGGTATAAAGAAATGATGGAGGATAAAGTACAATATGAAGTACAAGCTATACAGAAAGAAAAAAAAGAAAAGAAAATGCAGACAAAGCACAAAGTATAATTCAGAGCTTTATTGTTCATGAACAAATAGAAGTAAGATCAGAAAGAAAAGGAAAGATGTGAGAGACAAAGGGCAAGACTGAAAATGGAGGGAAAGTGCAGTTTTACAAGTTTTGAAGCTTTTCTTTCTTGCAACTGATTGCTATGATAGATCCTCTTTAAGAGGTTTAGTTGCAGCTTTCACTCCAGCAAATCTGTCTCGGACTTTACTAATCTTGTATGTGACACTACTGCATTTAATATGACTAAAGCTGAAAACCTTTCTTGGCCCAGTGATGCTTAAGGGAAGCATAGCATGAGTTTCAGCTTGATGAAGGATAACTCACAACTAGCAGAAAATCTTGCAATAGCTGGTAGAATTTTTAGACAAACATGAAGAAACAGCTAACTCAAATACTGAAGACACTTTCACCACCACATTAACCAATGAGGCACAGAATGTCTTCTAGCATCACCAATTTTATCTGCTATTTGTGGCTTTATTCTTTGTTTTCTGATAACTCTCACATTCCATTTATTTCTCTTGCCTTTCCAAGTGATTTCTGTAAGTTGTACACTTGTTGTTCAAGAAGATAGATATCTTGTACAGCATCATGATAGTTCAAAGAATGATCCTGGAGTCATTTCTGAACTTTGTCACTCTTGGAAATTTAGTGGTGCAAAGAAATCAATAATCAGGACCCTGGCCTTGCTTTCAAAATTATAGACAAAATTGCCAGTTTAGGATCAAATTACTACTGCTGTAGCACAAAAAATATGTATAGTTTAAATATAGTTTAAAAATTAAATTATATTAATGCTTGGATAGATATTCAATTAGTCAACATATTTTATATTATTATAAAATCTATATCATCACCCCTATTAATTCACAACTTCAAACATTTTCTCCTCACCCAATCCCAGCCCCAGCAGTGACAGTACCTGAGAACGAAAGTCCCCCAGCCCAACCTTCGTGATGCAACAGATTGCATAGTAAATTATTTCTCAAAATACCACCGATTTCATGAAACTCAGCCTGGATTGCTTACCCTACTGAAATAATTAAATAATATGATCTAGTGAAGTATAATATGCTTTCTATGATGATTGATGAGAAGACTAGTGGGTATAAATAGGTAGTGGATGTGCTTCAGAATTGAAGACCCACTTGTCTACACTAAAAGCACTCTGATCCTCCATAAACAGGAGGTAAAGATATTTAAGTGTCTCCCCTAGGAAGAAAGATTCCATCTTGTCTTTTGGTTTTGTGTCTATTGTACTTCTGACGTTCCCAATGGAAGTGTATCCATTTTCTACCTTGCAGTAATTTTCTATGCCCTGTAAAATGAACAAAAAATATAATAATGTGCAGGTGACTGCTAATGGTATACTGTGCAAGAGTTTGGACAATGATGATACCTCTGACAATGAAAAGTATAAATCATGCACTTCCAAGTCTGTCTAAAAACAAAAAATCATCACTACAGTATAATAATCAACAATCTGTATTATATCTACAAATAGTCACACTTACCTGGAACATTTGCCATCCCCAGTCCTGGAAAGTTTTGTTTCCTGTTAGGTGATACATGTACCACAGTGATTCTACAGTTTCTGGACGGAGAAGGTAGTGTGCATCATTGCTCTTTACAAAGAAGTCTTCATTCGTACTCGTGGGCTGTAAGAGGAAAAAAGAATCTCAAAATCACTGGCTTTAAATACTAGTTACACCAGTGTTTCAAAAGTTCCTAATTACCTGAAAAATTTAATCTTAGTGACACTCACCTGAGTATTATAGTAAGTAATTTCTGGGGCCAAGTTCGTTGGTTGACGAAGCCAAGTTAACGTACAAGTATACATCAGATCCTCTGCTATCTTCATATGGTGTTTTGGCATTCCATAATGAACTCCAAGGGCTAGAGTGCCAGGGAGATAGCAGTCAACAAGCTCATCCATCTTATTGACAAAATTTTTACTACCATGAAGCTCGCCAAAGAAAAGAAGGTTACTGGGTTCTGTCCTTCTTGCTAAAAGATGCTCCATGCCAGCCACACTCTCATTGTAATCATCTCTTAAGCTGTAGATGAAGAAGTATGTTAGAAGCATAGATGGGAAATTAAGGTCATTACCAGATATATCTAGGCCATTAGTGGAAATCATTCTAAAAGAGAAAACAACTAGACTTATGATTATAGCAGATTTCTTTTATCAAAATTCAAACAGAGACCTTAATACATACAAGTCTCTCGTCCGTCCGGTCTGGATCCACTGTTTCAAAAGATATTCATAATAAGTGTCTCCTCTGGCCCCTAAGGTGATGGTCGAGTGTGCTCGCCACTGTCCTGTCTGAGCATTAATGAAGATGGGAACGAGTCCTTCTGTCTTTGGTAGCTTATGGATGTGATCAGACACTAAGTTCACTTTCTCCTGAAAATGTATACAGGATTTAGATTGCAATATAGGAAAAGAGACTTGCATCAATAACCTTTTTTTTCCAATTTCTCTTTTATTTTAGAGCTCAAAAGAAGTCAGCAAAACATGAATACTCTGCACTAAATTTAGTAAGAAACATTACCTCATAAATAGGGTTTCCAGTAACACGAGATAAGTCTCTGAATTCTAGCTGAATTGTTGTAACTTCTGAAGTTGAAGAATCTGGGCCCCATTTTGGGTTCGAAGCTTTCCGTGAATACAAGTTGACGTCTGCAAAGGGTACTCCAGAACCACTATTGAATCCAGCAACCAGTCTATCACCTATGTCAACCTGAAATAAAAAAACTATTGTTACTTTTTTTCTTTTCTTTATTCTTCTTTGGGATTACATATACATTTTACAAAATAAAATGTCCTGAGGCAAAGAAATAAAAATGTAATGTGACAGCTTCAATCTGCAATGGTACTGTTACTGACGAGTTATTTCTCTACTGTAATCCTTTATCAATCCAGTCTTAAGTCTGATATTTGCTCTCCTGACTGTATCACCCTTATTCCTGAATCCTTTGAGTGCTGCAGATGAATGTTTAGAGTGGTTGGCATTGTGAGCCTTTTCTCTAGAAAATAGTGAAATTGCTATTTGGCTAGGGTGTAAAGTTAAACAACATGCTAGTACCAGAGATTAATTCATATATAAATGAACAGGCACTCAAAGGGTTGAAACCACATTACCTTAGGCAGGAGTGAAAATTAAACTCCACATGGGAAAAATATTCTTAATATTCTATATAATCACCCAGTATCTTTTCCATCATCATGATTTAGTACTGTGTACCACTAGGGTAAAAACAAGTTCTACACCCGAGAAAAGGTCAAAGTTAATCTATTACTCATCATAGATATAATCAATCTAGTATGAATTACTCTCTTAAGTACTCATTAAGATAAATAAGAGATAGAAACCTTTAAAATGTAAGAATATACATGTTAATTTCATTAATAATTCTTGTTCCAGTTTCAAATGTTATTTCAACAGCAATTTAAGTCAGAAACAAGTCAAACCTGTAATCTTCTATAAACATTAAAGAATATCATCAGATGGTCACAACATTTCCTACAAAAATATCAACCACGAGCTAATCCCATTCAATCTTTCAACTTACAGCTTTATCGAGGAAAAGTTGGTCATTAGTAAGGTGATATGTTGAAAGAAGGCCACCTAATATGCGAATGGTGGATTCAAACAAGTTAACATCTTGGTTTATGTTGAAGTTTAGTTGAGTTGCAACCCACTCCCGAGCTTCGTTAAATTCTGGAAAGAAATTGTATAGAATGTCTTTTTTTCTCTCTTTTTCTTTTTTCAGTACTCTTGAAAAGAAACATTACCCTAGAAGACAGAATTTTTGTTCAATCATCAGTATATGGATGGTTTACTAGCCCTCAGTAAATCTATTATAGTCATGAAACAACTCACTGTGAATGTGAAAATAACCAAAAATCATGAAACAACTCACTGTGAATATGCAAATAACTAAAAAAGTAATATATAAACACACCATCTTTAAGGTCCATAATCCACAGTGTATCAAGTGCATCTATTAGTGTCAACCCAAGTCTAAACCAGTCATTACTTGACCGGGACAAGGGTTTAAGATGGTCATGACCCCAAGCATACGTCTTGTAACCTTTCCAGGCATGTTTCATTGCTCCAACAACAGCTTCTTGTCTTTCAGATCCTAAAAAAAGAGATTAAGTGAATTATTAGAGAAGTCTTCACTGCCACACATTCAAGAAAAGCAATTATTCTTGTGCTTTAACATGAAAGGCTCTAAATGACCAGCCTAGAAAATGATTAATATATACATGTGGCTCATATAAAGTTTCTACACATGCTATTTCTTCTACTTATCACTAAAGTATCTGTGGGAAAAATGCATGTATCACAAAATAACAGTAACGGTGCAGGTGGTAAAACTAACTCTTTCGTGGGGGTCCAGGGGGAGGAATTATCTGGTCGGCTCCTTCCTTCTTTGCTTCTTCCTCGACATTTACTTCATTTTCTCTAGTTTCAAAAGTAGTTTTAAAATATATTCTAACTTCAAATCCTTATTATATCATAGTAAAATAAAAGCTACATGTAAGACACAGAAATTATAAATAAAATAAGGAATAGCATTATCAAGCACAGGAAGTGATCAATATGTTAA